TAAATAAAAGAAAACGCCCCCTCCTGAATCCCGGCACACCTCTTTACCATAATTCACTATCTCAACATGATATTTTGGAAATGGAGATTACTCCCCTATAACATTCTAAGTACTAATATTCTCTCGAGATTTTACTAAAAAACTAAATTGCCCCTTGACCACACGGAGTTGAGGTCAATAGTACTCTTGCTGAATCGTGGACACTTATCAACAGTGAATAGTCCCCTTATTAAATTACATGTGTGACTAATTAGTTTGTTGAATTATAGGCACGGTTGGCGAAGAAACGTTTATCTTTCATCGGGATAGATGTAATAATATTGTAATAAAAATATAGTCACCAAAAAAACCTAAAAGAAAAAAATCTAGCGCTAAATACCTATCATTTCTTCAACAAAATAATTTTAGAAAAATCCACTAAAAAGAAAAAAAGAACTAGTTCATTCATTTATATTCAATGTAGAAACTTCTTGTCTTTCGTATAATATCAATTTATTGATATACCTACTACTAGGGGTGTTCAAGGTCCGGATTGATAGCAATCCGTAACCAAACCGTTCATTACGGTTTGAAAAATTTTCAATCCGTAACCGGATCGGATTGGTGTATAATCCGGACCAATCCAATCCGTTTTTAACGGTTTGGTTTGGGCGGATTGGCGGTTTAGGCTTCTGATTAGACTTTTTCATTTTGCGCAAAAAATTAAACATTTTTTTGTTGTTGGACCTTTTTTGGGGGCTTTTCCTGAAAATTTTTGGGCCTTTTCCAGCCTTTTTTTTCGAGGCTTTTCTTGAAAAAAAAAAATTAGTCCATGGAGGATTCGAACGCACGACCTTTAGCAAGGTCTAACGTGGAGAGAACAATAACAATGCCAATGGGACAACTTAGCACTTTCAATAAAAGTCTCTATCCGACGCTATATATACAAAACCAATATATTATTATTTTATAATATATATACGGTCCGGTTCGGATTGACAGACGATTTGACAGTGCCAAACCGTAATCCGGACTGGATTGACCGGTTTTTAATTTTTCAATCCGCCGGTTTAAAAATATAATTATAATCTGCCCATTAATCTGAACCGATGACCAGATTGGACGGTTCCACCAGTTTGAGCCAAACCGTGAACATCCCTACCTACTACCAGGGACGGAACCAGGGAGGGTTAATTAGGAGGGTCGATCGACCCCCCGGCCGGCCGCCAACCCTTTAGGAGCTCTTTTCTGCCGTCTAACGATTCTGATGTATTTTCCATGGCTGACCCTCTAGCAACTGCCGGAGACGACGGAAGAAGACAACTATGAAAGGACGTTTTCTATTTTTCTTTCATGTTGAGCCTCTTGTGTTTCTTTAGAAAGATGCCCGTTTGAATTGGGCTTATTTTCATTCTTTTCTTTTCCTTTCCCCCGATCCACCAATCTTTTCTTTTTTTTAATAAGAATTATTATTATAATTATAAGTGATATGGTTTTTATAACATCTGTAATAATTATGAACCTTGCTTTCTTTTCTTTTTTCTTTGTCAATTGTGCTCTTTTAATCAGGGGCCTTATATTTTTGAATGAATCATGCTTTTTTTTATTATTGAAAACTAATTCATTTAATCATCTTTAAAGTGATTTTACAATGTCAACCTCGATATTACAATGATATTTTAGTCATTTTTTTTAATTTACATTCTGACTATAATAAAAATTAATAGTTTATGACAATTGAAAGAACCTTCGTTTCTTTCAGTATAATGATGTCTTTCGCGGAGGCTTTCACCATTTACTATAATGATCTTTAGTTACGATCCTCCAGGATTAAAGTTCTAGTTCCGTCACTGCCTACTACTAAAAAAAAAAACCATTTAAAAAGAAATTGTCTAATGTAGACTAATTCTCAGAACCCTTCCCGCCCCCAACACAACCACAAATTTCAAGGGTATCAATTTTGCTCGAAAGACTAACTAACAATTAGACTATAGAGTTAAGGAGCTGAAGTATTGAAGCGTTGATGAGTTGAATAGTTGAAGAGTGAAAGGATTAAGGACTTATGTAATGGACTAGATGGATTGGGCACGTTTAGTGCATACGATATGTATAATAATAACATAATGTAATATTATATAAAAGAAAAAAAAGTGTTTTGTTGACAACAGACAAAATTTTAGTCAATTTAGTATTCATTACCTTTATATTATTTAAGAACTTCACTTTCTTTGTTTTTTTGGGTTTTTTTTTTGGAAATTTCAATTTCATTAATGAAAGAGTAGGGAATAAAAAGCACAACCAAACGCATAGGAAACAACACCTACCGAATGTAGCTCGGTCACTTTTGATTTCAACGAAATCGATATATAGCACTTCGTGTGTGAATTAGAAAAAAAAAAGTGGATTTGCAAATTGAGTAATAAAACACAATCAAATTTTTGTATCACCCAAAAAAAACTATTAAAAAAGGAATAAAAATAAAAGATAAATACTAAATTCTAAGGAAAAAAATGAAGATCCAACAAATTAGTGATGGATAAATCACAGAGTATAAAGAGCAAAGACTCAAAGAATGAAAAAGAGAGACGTGGCAAAAACCATACATCATTTAGAAATATACATTGATGAATTTAGAATAAAAGACATTTCGTATTATATTGAGTTATGCAACAATCATTTAAATTGATGAATATATCAAATTCAAAGAAGTGAATAAGGAACAAATATACTAAAGAATTTAAAGAGATAAGAATCATCAAAATTGGATTTTACCAATGAAATTCACCTATTAATGAGAAACGAAAAAAGAAATAAATGGTAGAAAAGATCAAAAGTAAAAAATTTACAAAAAGATAAATGTAAAGAATTACCAAATGGGAGTAATTGTTGCAACCGTCTTATGATCGATAAAATTCTTTTGTGACTGATCAAATTATAGTAATAATAATAAGTAAAAAAATTTCTAATTAAGAACTACATAATTATAATTTTTATGCCTTTTCATTCTCTTAGCCGCATATTATTTTTCGCCAAACTTCAAATTTCACATAAATATAATGGCAAGCAAAGTTAACGTATGAAAACGGATTTTATTTTTCTTTTTTATCAAAAGTAAATATACGAGGAAGGACTACTAAATCAAAAATCACATTTAAGTAAAAAAGTACGAAATAGATGAAAAGATTTCAAGGAGATAAGACAGTTTTAACAGAAGATGACAAGAAATAAAAAGAAAATAACACTTGCAATAAAGAAGTAACGACAAAGGGAAATGAAAATTTAACGCCTGTAATAAAGAATAAAAAATGAGGGGAGGCAAATAGTATATCTACAACATATATCGTAAATAACTAACAAAAAAAGAGATGAAAAAATTTAATAATTATAGTAAAAGATCACAATAAATATTGAAAGAATAATAAGGAAGTAGAAAATATAAGAAAGTGTGATAATTTGGTTTTAAAGACTCTAGACAATGAGGTGTAGTCTAGTGGTACGATGCCTCTCCTATTTCTAAGAAATCATGGTTTCGAGTCGCGCTTGCTGTAAGTGGTGAATCATTACTGATAAATTTTTTTAAGGAATAAAAAACGAAAAGACTTTAAGAAAATGATAGAGTAGAAACAGAAGATGATAAGAGAATTATAAAAAAAATGTAGCACTATCCTTTTTTTTTTTTTTAAGGAGACGTAAAGGACTTCAAGGAAATGATAGAGTAGAAACAGTGGAAACAGTAGAAACAGAAGATGATAGTAGCTCTAAAAACAATGGAACACTTTCTAATTAGAACCAAACACAAAGAAAAATGAAAAGTTAATACCCGTAATAAAGAATAGAAAATGAGAGGAGGTGAAAAGTATCAATAACATCTGTAGTAGATAACTAATAATATAATGAGAAGAAAAAAAAATCAACAATCATAGGGAAAAAATAATATTGAAAAGATAATGGACAAAGGGAGAATACAAAGAAGACACGAAAAGATGCGGTAGTTTTGGTTTATAAAAAAATGAAAAACTAAAATAAAATATAAAAATGTATGTGAAAATCATCTAACAGGACTTCCAAACGTAATCCCATATTTTCTAATTATATTATATGTCGATGAATAAACAAGTCAAACAGTTTAGTTGTTGAGAGTTAAATAGTTGTAAAATTGATGACTATGGAGTTAATGAGTTAACAACTTAAAAGGGTTAAAGAGTCAAACTATTGATGAATTGAAGAGTGGGCACTACAAGAAAAATGACCTTTGGTGGCATAGAGAATGTGTGGCAAATAATGGTATAAGTGTCGCAAAAGCACCTTTGCAACATATAATTCGTCAAAATTCTAAGTGACGTTGTAGAACGTGTAGTAAATTTGGCGACACTATTTCCAATTATGCAGTATATGAATGCGACACTTATGCGTCATTATGTACTGTGCCGCATGAAATTTACGACACATATTATGGTAATTGTTTCTATGCCGCTATGGAAATTGCAGCACATATTCATGTCACTATTATAATGTCGCACAATAAATGTGACAGTATTGGCGTCTCATTTCACAGTACTGCATTATTTTTCGCGACACAAAATTGCATCATCATATAAAATTCTACAATTTTATTGCGACACTGTTTGCGTTAGCAATTGAACCGTCGTATAATTTTTTAGCGACACAATTTTGTGTAGTTATGTATAATGTCGCATGAAGACTTGCAGCACATATTTGCATCCCATTTTTGTGTCGTTTTTTAGCAGCAAATTTTTATTTGACACTTATCATTTTTTTTCTGACATGCAATTTGTTTAGTATCGCATGAATAGCAAGTGACAAATTGTGTTGCTATTAAAAATAATGTCTTTAATCTTGTCAATTTTTGTGCATTTATTTGCAATAATAACCATTTTAGAAGTGTGTTTAACTTTGCTGCATACTTAACTCAAATTATATGACCATGAATTATTTGTTAGTTTTGCACCAAATGTTGGTAGCTCAAGTAGATGGTACATAATATTATAGTAATTATAAAATCACAAGTGTATATATACCTTAGGGGAAGTAGCATCTGAACGAATGACATGACTTTCATTCTCGGACTTATTTGCCTCTTTACTCATCTATTCAAATAGAATATAAACAAAATATTAACAAATAAATTACATAGAATGAATAATAAACAACTTTTTAATTTACCTCTGTAGGCTCATTTCTTGGACAAATGCTTGATGAATGTAATATTCCTTGTGATAATTCATTGAATGCTAACTCACGATGTGCAATTGGACACTCTTGTATCTAATATTTATTAAGAATTAATATGCTTAAACATAAAACAATATTTAACAAACAACAATAGTTTACAATGAGAGAACTTACCTCAGTACTTGGATTACCAAAACTTAAATTATGATCATGCAACATCTGTTTCATTTCAGTAAGACATTCTGCTTTCATCTTGGCAGCTATCTCACTAATTTCATGTTCCATTGCAATCTTCATATCTTTTTTTATGCATGTAACTCTTTCATTGACTGCTTGATCAAATTTTTCCTGAGAGGCAAACAATTTTTCATTTTTCGAAGATACATTGCAGCAGCTTAAGCACCCCTTGGATTCTTTTCCAATGACGTCATCAAAAATCTTATCATTTGCTGCCGCATCATTTTGCATCTCTTCGGGCAACTTTCCTTTCAATTCCTTCAAGGTAGCCTAATAATGGATCATTAAAAAATTTAATATAATGGGCATAATTTTTTTTGGGTCAAATTTTGCTGGTCTTGAATATAAATTATGAACAAAACCGAATGTGAATGACAATCGTAATAGTTAATCTCATTTTAAGTATTACTTACTATCACATTAGCAGTAAATTCATCGAGTGGCTGGCCTTTTTTTGCTTCTCTTGACTCAAGGAACAACTCTAATTTGTTTGGTTTTCTTCCCTTCTCCTCAGAAATCTATTAATAAATTATAAGAAAGAGAGGAGTAAGTTGAAAGAGCATACACTCTACATAAAAACAAAGAAGAGGAGAAAACAGATCTAACGTGTTTTTTATTGTGTAAAAGTGATCACCTTATGCGCAAGATTATGTGTATCCATCCTCCCTTGCCTTTGTGGAAATTTCAAAAGTCGTTGGCTCCTTCGATTTCGTTTGCTTTGTTTCTGCAATTCATATATTGAAGCAATACAGTCCTATTAAATAGTTCCTTGACGAAATAGATCTTTAGTCTTAAAACTTAAAAAATAAATAAATAAACGTGTCTAGTATGCTAACCTTCACTTTTTCATGACTCCAATACTAATCAATGTCGGCCATTGATGCTCTTCCACTTGTTCTGGACAATGCTCAAGCAAGTAAGTATGGTCATGTCTATATGGGAGATAGAACTTTGCTTTCGTTTTTGATTTATGATCCTTCCAAAGTTTGCCAAGTCTCTTCAAGCATGTTTTCTTGTAAACATCAGTGAGATTTGTGTTTTGCTGCAATTATGAAAATATAAAAAAATATTGAGACGATGTTTCATATGATTCTTATAGTTACCTCATACGTAGTAAAAATTATGCAAACCAAGTTATCAAAACAAATTCTAAAGTAAACATACTACCTTTACTTCATCCCATACATCATCCTTATTCGACTTCTTCGGCATCATTCTCCAATCAACATAGGTAAGGGGTAGCTTGTGGCCTTCTCTAGCCAAAACGCCCAATTGAGTTGCAAATTCGGAGGCCATAACTCCAACCACTTGATTATTTTCATTTAACTCTAGAATCATAATATTCCCTGTACCCCATTGAAATTTGGGCTTTGTTTGGCCTCTTTGAATCGCACCTATCAATTTTAATCTGTTAAGGAATCTATAATCGAACGAATCTTACATATCAATATATAGGGGACCATACCTTTTTCATGTGAATCATCACTACTTTCATGTGACTCATGATCACTATCACGATTATCATCTTCGAAGGTGTGAGAAGAAGAGTCGGAATCCGTATTTGAGGCAGATTCGTGATCATTGGAACCATTGATAGTAGCATCTTGCATCGGGGACCTATCGGAACCATTGATAGTAGCATCTTGCATTTGGGACCTACTCGTTGTTCCTTCGTGTTGATGATTATGCACTAAATCAAGCATTGAGCAAACAAGGCGTTGAGATTTTTTCGGACGATGTGACATTGCTACTATATGATTTCGAAATCAACAACAGAGATGTAAAGTATTCTGATATGAGAATATCTTTTTCATAGATGGATGGGAGAGGAATTTGCGATTTATGAGAACATAAATAAGAGAGGGATTGATAGATAGTAGGACACGGGAGATAAGGAAAATTTGTTTTGTGATGAAGATGGGATACACACGATCACCACTAGGGAATCTTTTAGCGGGATTTTTTTGTGTAATTTTTCCTTAGCGGGAAATTTTCAGGAATATAAGTGGGAATAGTGGGAAATAAGCACTTTACTTCAAATAAAATACAAAATCCAAAACATTTTGGGTCTAAGGCTTAAATAGGCAACTAACCAAGAACAAAAAATTCGGATAAATGATAAAATTAGGTACCATAGGAAGATTAATTTATCAAGATGTTAGAACATGATGATGTGTTTCAATTATTATAACATGTCAGTTTTAATTACTGAGTTTAATGACATAGGGATATCAACTAATAATTTTTAATTATTTTTTCTTTGATATTGTTAGCTAAATTGCTATATATTCAATGCAATTCGTACCTTTTTTTAACTTTATACTTCGGCCAAAACCATGTCCAACACCAATTAGTATTATCCTAAATTCAAACTATGTTTTTCAATTCTACACAACAAATACCATATGGAAAGCTAGATTCTACATTACCGTAACATGCAATTTCCTACAATGCATGAATCATTCAAATTCTAACTATCAATGTAAAAGGGAAAAATGACAATTTTTTTCCTCCGTAAATTACCTTTTTCCCTTCCTTTGGCTTTCAAGTATTCCTTGCATTCTATTCCTCAGATCGGCAAGGTTTAATTAATGACAAATGTATTAATTGCAGAATGTGGTGGCTTCCAAAAGGACCGAATATGGACTTGGAATTTTAACCCAAATAATATGGTATTTTACACAATTTTGAATCTGTACTCTCTCGGTTCCAAAATGACGTTTCACTTTAGTGTCAATGACATTAAATAAAAATCATTTCAAAATAATAATGTGATTAGTGAACACTGATAATAATAATTAACATTTTACTACTTAGTTTGACTTGAACGACATCATTTATGGACCAAATTTGTTCTTTTTACATATATACTAGTTAGTTTTACTTAATTATAATCTGTTATTGGTCAAACTTTTTGTTTTTTTTTATCAAATTTGTACTTTTTACATATGTACTACTTAATTTTACTTTAATGAAATCTATTATTGATCAAATTTGTTGTGTTTACCTTTGAGATACTTAGTTTGAGTTAAACAGAACATGTTATTGATCAAATTTGTTCTTTTTACATACGTACTACCTAGTATTACTTAAATTCAATTTATTTTATTAAGCATCATAATTTTTGGGGAAGGTATATTATAAAGATGTAAATCGGAATAATCAACAAATCCGATCTCCCGCTTCACAAAAAAAAAAAAAAACTCATGTTACAAATCAGATCCCATCGACAAAAATGACCAAATTACCCCTAATAGGCAGGAGTCCAGGACTTGGACTCCAGTATAATGGACTGGATATTTATGTCTTTTTGATCGTTCAACTGATTTTTGTGAAGTTATTTAACCCACAAATTATACGCGTTTCAGAAATTCAGAATTCTGATGATTCTGTGGATTTAACCACCAAATTATTCTTGGTGGACAAAAAAAAACATCAAGGAACAAATCCCTAAATCCCTCGAAAAAATTACCAAATTACCCCTAATAGGCAAGAGTCCAGAACTTGGACTCCAGTATAATGGATTGGATATTTATGTCTTTTCGGTCGTTCGACCGATTTTTGTGAAGTTATTTAAATAAAATATTTTTTTTTATTTTTTTCGCGCTTTAAAAAAACATGAATATTTATTTAATTAATTTTTTTACCATTAATTAGTTACGATTAAGTTAAATTAATTACGATATCTTACTTTTAGCGTTTCTGGAACGCGATAATGGTTTTTTAGCGTTTTCAAAACGTGAAATTTTTGTTTTAGCATTTTTAAAACGCGATTTTGCTTATTTTCGCGTGTTTGAAGCACGAAAGAATCAGTTTTGGCTACAATTTAAAACCTAGATCTATTTTGTTCTTCAAAATTTTTTTAGGTTATATATAAGTAAATTTTCCCGAAAATACATGACCTTACTCTTGTTAAGTAAGGTAAAAAATAATTGGTGAGCACAAGTGCCTTCAATTACTTATATGAAGAAAACGTAAGTTTCTCAAAAGTGCAATAATTCAAGATATAAATATGAAAACATACAATCACTTGATTATTTATTATTGATTTTTTTAGATAGAAAAATAATTAATATTTTTTATCCAAACAACACTTATCAATCCCAAAAAAATTAAAAACCGTTTAACTAGTTCTTCTTTCAAAAAATACATGGGGGAAACATAAAGCCAAAATATAATAATTTGAAATTATCTAAACGATCATTAGGGGAGTAGTAGTTGTAAAACAGAGTAACTTTTGCATAGGAAAACCGATATAAACCGAAAATGGAAGTTTAATATATTTTTTAAAAAAAAAATAGAAGAAAAATGATAGGACAATATATACGTTGTTAGAAAAATGGAACTAAAATAAAAAGGAGGGAAAAAGAAAAAAGAGAGGGAAGTTCATTAAAATTAACCACAAATTGAGGTTGACCGAAAGAAAGCGGGAAACGACGGCTTTTAACTCGTCTATTAAATTTCTTTTTTTTTTGTTTTTTTTAACAAATTTTATCATTTTTATTTATGTATGAACCTTGATAATAGATTTAAAAATAATGTCTATGCGAGTAATAATTTTAATTAAAAACTTAAAACATGGAAAAATGAAAATGAAAGGATTTAGTCAAACACGTAACACTGGTCTACATCCATGGACTAAGTCCTTTAACAAACAAACAACAAGCTACACAATCCCCTAAAATCTGGTGAAATGGTTGTAGTAAGCTTAGTGAGTTAGAAGAAATTAATAAAATAAAACTTCCATTTACTTAATTATTTTCCTCTACATATACTAGGACAGAAGAGGTTAATGCTTACTTTATACTTTCTTCCTCCCAAAAACCATTCGCTGTAAACATCAAAGCATTTTATCGCTTTCGTTCATAGTCCAACCACAAAATATTGTATCCCAAAATATAGACCTCAACCCGATTCCAATTAATATATGCATAATTCAAGTTGAAGAAAATAATTCCGAGTGGAAAGAAGTGCATCTTGAGACTTCAAACTTGGCTGTCTTCTCAAGAGAATTTAAGGTGTGGGATTTACAATGCTTTTTTTTTTCAAATGAGATTCATAAAACTGTGGAAACAATATACATGTATAAATCTTTATGCTTGTTTCTAAATTCAATCGAATTTATGTAGCTGTTCGAGATTGTTTTATTTATCCCGCAAATGTTTAATTTAAGTCAATATTTTTGTGAGGAACGCTCAGCAGTTTATGGAAGGAACACTCGGCTGAATCAATTAGCTATAAAGGGAATCCAATAAGAAGGTATCATAATTTTAAACTAGCCAATTTAGTTAGAGTTGATAATTGTGAACTACTTTATTATATTGAGAGCAACATTTCTTAATTATTATACATATTCTAGCCTCATATAGATTTTAATACATTTATTACTACATTTATTTCTTCTTAACTTTTCGGTTATTCTTTAATACATTGTAAAAACTTTCTCTTATGGTATTCCATTTACAGTTTCTTTTTGTAAACTGTAAAACTAAAACTACTCTATTGATGTCAAACTTTCTTATCTTTTATTTTTCTTGTTTCCTTTTTGCCTTACTAAGATGAATACGTCAATCTGAAATGTCAAAGCTGGAAACTTACGACCACTTATAAATGTATACCAATTTTACAAAATAAAAAAATTATGAAACTATAAGATGCAAACTTCAATTTCAAATTTTAAACTAGTGTTGTCTGTGGAAAAAAAACCTTGGCAAAATAATGATGATTTCGGTTGAAAGATTTCAATTTGAAGCGTTTTGCTCTATGATATATTGAAGAAGAGGAAACAAAAATAAATATGGTTTTTCCTTTTTCTTTCATTTATGGGTGGACATATTTTTATGGCATTTGTTAGTTGCCAAAAAGATAATGCGATTACAAATTACTTTTCTTTTTCAGATCTTATTCCTTTTTTTTTTCCTGATCCTCAATTTCAGAGTCTCCATGAATTTTTTTTTTTTGTGAATCTTGTAGTTCTTTGCTCTCTACCATAAGTTCTGGCAATTCACATTCTACTGTCTAAATCGTTTATGCCTTTGATCGGCATCTAAAAATTGCTTATCCCTCGGACTTGTGTTCCTACTGTTATTACATGTATGTTTTTCCTTTTTTTGCCGTGGAAATTTGTCGTCCACCGAGATCCATTAGCTGCTAATATTGAGTTGATTTGCCAGCCCTTTCCTACATACTGTGTGTTGTTTATTTTGCTAGCACATTTCTACATACTATATTTTCTAATAATGAGTTAGGCGCACATCTTTCTTATGTGGATAATTTAAATTTCGTATAATTTTATATATCATGTTGTTTGATAATTTTAATTTGATTCATCACGAGCATATCTGAATTTTTTAATAATGAAAAAATGATTCTTGTAAATGTTGAGTTTTTTTTTGTTCAAAATAATATTGAGTTTAAATATTACCATAAATAGTACTCCCTCCATCAAAAAGATAATATTTAAATGTGATAATCATTACAACAAGGACATAATATTTTTTTTGATATGTTTATATTATATATAGCCTTATTTTCATCTAGATCTGCTACTACTCTAGGACCCTTTTCCATAGCCTCAACCTCATCTTCATCAGTCTTGGCTAACATATACTTCAACTTCTTGGCCTCCTCCCAAGACTCGAATATTTCTTCCACATTTCTAAAAATCCTCAATTGTCCTTCTGTTGGAAATGACGACTTGACTAGTTTAGAAAATTTCATACCCCCTAGGACGGTTTTCAAAACATTTGCCAGTGTTCTGGGGTCATCCTCTAGAGAATTTTATCAATTTACATTATAAGAAAAAAATTTCTAAAATGTGAATAAGAAGTAGGATATCATCTAGCAGTGTTAACTCAGATTGTAACTCGATTCAAATAAAATAGATTTGACCTATACATAAATTCCGGAATGGATTTGCAAAAGTAGAGTAAGAAACAATCCTGCTCAATAGTATATCATGATAGTAGTTAAAGAAATTTTTTTTTTTTTGTGAATATGTTATTTTCTAATGTAGTTTTTTTACTATTTACATATATAGATGGACAAATCGTGGATTTATATAGAAGATCGGGTTAATGAACAAACTTTTAGACAAGAAATACTTGGGTTTCTTGAGTTTGCATACACAAACAAGCAACCCGGTTCTAAAATAAAGTGTCCATGCGTTAGTTGTAGGAACTCTAGAAAGCACTTGAGGGACGATGTTCACTATCATATTTTGAAGTATGGTTTTCATCAAATTTATACTAATTGGATTCATCACGGGGAGGAAAGAAAGCGCAGTGAGCAACATTTAGCTAGCTCATCAAGAGAAAGAATGGAAACTGATGGGATGCAAGATTTGATACGTGAAGGACTGCAGGCTTCATATTGTGGAACCCATGAAAATTTTAGTCATGTGGATGGTAATGATGAATATTCAAACATAGGAGAAAAGCACCCTCAGGAAGAATTTCATGAAGAGAGTGACAAATTTTATAAACTATTAAAGCATGCAGAGACTGAGTTATTTCCTGGTTGCACAAGTTTCACATTACTATCTTTTATTGTGCATCTGTTGCATGTCAAGTGACTTTCTCGATGGAGTAATAGTTCTTTTACAATGCTGTTGGAGGCATTAAAGGAGGCATTCCAGAGTGATTTATTTCCATGCTCCTATCGAGAAGCTTGGAAACTTGTCAAAGACTTAGGTCTTGAGTATAAAAAGATCCATGCTTGTCCTAATGATTGTATAATTTATTGGAAGGAGACAGAAAATGATGACAAGTGTAAGCATTGCAACACTTCAAGATATAAGAAATTTGATGAGCGAGATGAAGATTCATGTGAAGGTGAAAAAAAGATTCCGGCAAAACTAGTTCGTTACTTTCCTTTAAAGCCAAGGATTCAAAGATTGTTCATGTCTTCAAAAACTGCTTCTTTGATGAGATGGCATGTGGAAGAACGCAGGGAAGATGGAAAGCTTAGGCATCCAGCCGACTCTCAAGCATGGAAATGTTTTGATCAAAAAAACCAAGCTTTGCAGCTGATTGCTGCAATGTTAGACTTGGACTAGCAGCTGACGGGTTTAATCCATTCAAATCAATGAGCATTGCTCACAGTACCTGGCCTGTTGTTCTTATTCCTTATAATCTCCCTCCTTGGATATGTATGAAGCAACCATCGATTATACTGTCTATACTTATTGACGGTCGTCGTGGTCCAGGGAATGACATTGATGTTTATCTTCAACCGCTCATTGACGAACTACAAGAACTATGGAATCCTGGAGTTACTACTTATGATGTGGTCCAAAAATGCATGTTCCAGCTGCGAGTTGCATTGCTTTGGACAATTAATGACTTTCCAGCTTATGCAAACCTTTCTGGTTGGAGTACCAAAGGTGTCTATGCATGTCTTTGTTGTAATAAACATCCTCAATCTCGTTGGCTGAAACATGGATTCAAACATTGTTATATTGGGCATCGTCGATTTCTTAATGCCACTCACCAGTTTCGCATAGATTCAATTCATTTTGATGGCTCTGTGGAAAAATCTTCTAAACCTAAGAGACTATCTGGCATAGAAGTTTTGCAACAGTTAAATGGCATGGTGAATCAATTTGGAAAAAGAGTATCTACCGCTACAGGGAAAAAAAGAAAAAGGGTAGAAGTGAATCATAGTTCAACTCCAATATGTCGATATAATTGGAAGAAGAAGAGCATATTCTTTGAACTGCCTTATTGGAAAGAAAATCTTATTCACCACAATCTTGATATTATGCATATTGAGAAAAACTTTTTGGAAAATCTCTTGTGGACACTTCTTGGAGTTAAAGGTAAAACCAAGGACAATGTTAATTCCCGATTGGATCTTCAAGAAATAGGAATTCGAAAGGGACTTTATCCTCAGAAAAAAGGAGATAAGTATTATTTGCCCCCTGCTTGTTTCACAATGAGCAAAGATGAGAAAGATATTTTCTTGAAAGTGTTAAAAAATGTGAAAGTGCCTGATGGGTTTGCATCAAATATATCAAAATGTGTTAATTTGGCGGAGAGAACTATCTCAGGGCTGAAAAGTCATGATTGTCACATATTGATACAACAATTACTTCCAATTGCCTTAAGAGGTGCAGTTCCTGAAAAGGTTTACAGTGTGATAGTGGAGTTATGCGATATCTTCAAACAATTATACTCAAAAGTGCATACCATGATTGACTTTGAAGATTTGGAAAATCGCATTGCTTTGACTCTCTTTGAATTAGAAAAGATATTTCCTCCTTCATTTTTTGATATTATGGAGCATTTACCCATTCACTTAGCTGAAGAAGCTAAACTTGCTAGACCGGTTCAGTTTCGTTCTATGTATCCTATTGAGAGGTAAAGTTATATTAATTTATTATTTATAATTAATTTATAATATTTTTTACTCAAGTATCTTGCTGAAGAATGTATGACATTCTATTCAATGTACCTAAATGGTGTGGAGTCCAAACTAAATAGACCAAGCAGAAACAATGAAGGTGTTAAAAGTTCCAATCTAGAAAGTGGGCGCTCCATTGGGAAGGAAGAAATTGTTTACTTGGGTAGTGATGAACGGGATCAAGCGCATAAATACATTATCAATTCCTTATCAATGGTGGATGAGTTCAAAGAGTAAGTATGAGTTTTTGTTTTGATATATTGATTTTTTTATTTGTTGTTTTTTATATTCCTAACCTTAAAATTATATCATTGCAGGGAACATTTGAATGTTCTTAAACAAGAAAAACCACGCATGTCAAGTTATAATAGGGAGAAACTTCATAGTGAAACTTTTGTGAAGTGGTTTAAAGATCGGGTAAGTAGATAAATTTATCACTCATTTCAAGTTTTTTTTTTATAATAGTTTCTATGTGATAAAAAAATTAATATTATTATTTTGGGTAAACTTGTTAGGTCAACGCAACAGAGCAATCTAATGAAGACCTTCGGCACTTGGCTATTGGACCAAGTAAATGGGTGAGACGTTACTCAGGATACATAATAAATGGTTTGCGATTTCACATTAAACAACGGGAGGCTAGAAGAAAAACACAAAATAGTGGAGTGTTCTTAACTGCAACTACCAGTAGTTTTTCAAGCATTAAGAACAAAAATCCAGTCTCGGGGGATGTGTCATTTTATGGTATTGTGAAAGATATCATCGAACTGAGATACACTAATCACTTAAAGTTTGTGTTATTTAAATGTGATTGGGTTGACCCAAATACAGGATTGCGACGAGATGAGTTCAACTTCACTTTAGTCAATTTCAATCACTTATTATATAAGCAGAATAGAAAAAGTGATGAGCTGTTCATTCTAGCCTCTCAAGCTCAACAAGCATGGTACATTGAATATCCAAGTTACCCAGATTGGCATGTGGCTTTGAAGATGAATCCTCGAAATTTGTTCAATGTGGATCCAGAAGTTAATGTGACTGAAGGTTCTGAAGATGCCAATTATGTCCATCAACATAATGCTAGAGATAGTGGAAATGATGACGCATCATGGGTTAGAGTAGATGTTGAGGGGATACACAAGATCCCCCAAGTCCCATAAAGCAAAGAGAATGTCGTACAAGGGTTGAAATGAACGTTGATGATTTAACTTCTGCAAGTGAAGAGGAAATCGAAAATTATGCTAGTGACGGTCATGATGAACCAAGTGATGGTGATGACTTTTTTGAATAAAGAACTGCACCCACTAAGGACAATGAATTTTAGACTTCAACTAGATCTCAAATTTGCTTCATTTGTGACCTTTCAAGTATATTATGCAATTTAAAGTTATGTTTTCTTGTTTGTCCTACTATATGTTTTTATTTATTAAAGTGTTTGAAAATCAGTTTTCTTTTGCATTTCATTGTTGTAGCTGGTTAACTTTTATGTATTTTATTAAATTTTGTTTCTAGTTCAATAAATGCACTTTTTTTCGAAAAAAATATTAACAATACCCGAAGGTTTTTTACATTCCCCTTAAAGTCTAGTTTATTTCGCAAGATTACTATGTATATACAATGTATATTTACATTAATTGATGGTTAAATCAACAAGAAAAACAATGATAATTTTACAACAATAAAGTGTTTTCAAACTCTCAGCAATAAAAAAGTTTGGTACATTAAATATAACAATTCACAACGTTAAATATAAATGAGGTAGTATAGCTACTTATTTGGGACGTATGCATAAATCGTTGCTGTCACTAACGCAAATATGCATCATTTATTGAAAAGTGTCATTAATGTACAACAATTTATAAAAATGCAGTAAGAAATGTGCAGCAATTTTACAACAGAATTAAATGCCGCATATTTGACTCTAATTTGTAGCACAGTCAAAGAGTGACACAACAGTGTCATAAATTTACTACAAAAAGTTTACTTGTGTCATTGATTAACAATACTTTAATCAAGTGTTGCAATGATATGCCTTGTTTTCTTGACAATAATAATCAATGCAACATAATTGACGCCAAATTAGGACAAACGTCATATGTGACATAGTTATGCCGCAAATATGTGGCACACGGACTTAAATGTCGTTGATTTACCGCATTTAGTTGCGGCATAAATGTGGATGTGTGGCCAAAGGCCATATTTCTTGTAGTGTGGGAGACTTGTTTGTTTGTTTAGTTTTTTTTTATGGTTTTTTTAGATTAATAAAATAATAACTGTCCCATCTCAGCATACTTTTTTACATTTTCAATACACCTTTTTACATTCCGAATACAAAAAACACCTAAAAACACACACTAAAAAACAGAACAAACATAAGAGTTGAAGAGTTAAAAGGATACGTTGCACTAGAAAGGGGAATGGATATATCATAATTTTATTACAATTCTCACCATTACGATGTTTAATTAAAAAAAAAAGTAAATGACAAGTAATATGATGTCTGACGTCATATGATAATGGGATTGAAATATTTTAGAGGCCTGATCTTTTTAGTTCCTAAAGTATTTTTCGGTTCAATTTTCGTCCTTAATGTTTTTTCCGTGATAAAATTAGTCCTGATAGTTTTTTTTTTTTTTGGTTTAAAATTGGTCCTATTGGTTGGATCCAGTCACTATTCCGGTGAAATATGATTTTTAAATTATAAATTATCCCCAAAATTTTGTAAATTGATCAATTTTTAAACAAATTTTTTTAAAAAATTTCAGTTGAACCTAATTTTATCTTTTTTTTTTGGTGCAACACAATTTTAACTTTAGTACATCACTTTTTCAATTTTAATCAATTTACTTTTACATTTCCCAATCAAATCTTAGTATGCCAAAATGTAAAATTTATCACATTGTTTACCCTATTCTCTATCACATTTACAATGAATAATAAACTAAAAAATATTCTAAAATATTTATTTATTTTATCCCCATTATTTTTTTTCTTCGCTTGGCCTATTACTAAATCAGCTATAATAAAGTAAATTTAGTAAAAGAATATTAAATTAATAAAATGTTTTGCGATAATTTTTATAAAAATTCAAAAAAATAACATGCAAAATCAGAGTTTTTTTTTTCTTTTTTTGTCTAATTAATTCTTCGCGATAAATCATAGTCATCTTTTTTACTCTTTATTTTATATTTTCACCTCATAAAAGTTAGAAACTATTTGATTTACCTTATGTGTTTTTTTTACATCAATAAAAAAATCAAACAGAAAAAACAATTTTGTTTATCGAATATCCTCACTGTTATAATTTTTTTTGACATAATAAATATGGATAAGGTAAAAATAAATTAGGTTTGAAAAACTTTTGTCATGTAAAATGGCCAAATAAGAGATTAAAAAGACAAATATTTAGAAATAAAAACTTTTTTAATATGAAAAGGTTGTTAGTCGAGTAAAAATAAATTTTTAGATTGAAAAACTTAAAATAAATTAAAAATTTTTTTGTGAATATAAATTTACTAAAATATTTTATTATAAAAAATTTTACTTAATATTATATTATTTATTTTAATATTCTAGACTTGTTTTTTTAACTTATATTATTATTATGTTATTAATTTTTTAATTTTATGAGTAAAATGGTGAAAGATATGATAATTAGTTTACTACTAGGCTAGGGGAATAAAAACATCCTATAAAAATATGACATATGGAATATTTTATCCTATCCTTTCTTACTTCTAAAAAGTATAAAAATATTACATTATTTACCCTATTCTTTCTCATTTTTATCAAATAAAAAACAAATGAGAGAGAATAAAGTAAAATGTAGGACATTTTTGGATAGAAAGATTTGATTTGGATAGGTAAACATAAATAGATTAAAACTAAAAAAGTGATGTGCTAAAGTTAAAATTGGATTAAATTAAAATATATTTTTTAAAAAAAATGGGGTGAAATTGATACAATTACAAAATTTTGGGGAAATTTTGTGCTTAAAAAAATTATATTTCGCCGGAATAGTGGCAGGATCCGGCCAATAGGGCTAATTTTTTTAAAAAAAAACTATCAGGACTAATTTTATTACGTGGAAAGTATGAGGGACGAAAATTGAACCAGAAAATACTTTGGGGACTAAAAAGATTGAGCGCCCAAATATTTTTATACATTTAATATTTATTAAGGATATCTTATCACTAATTAAATAAAACTCACAAAACTATTTTCACTAGTAAAGAAATAAACATGCCCCATTCTCCTTTTTTTTTTCAAGTTTACCTCCATATTTTTCAAATTAATATCTTTATGTACGGACATTCCCAAACCAATCTTTCGGAAAAAATCATTTTCCCTTCGTAGATCTACAAAAGATTCTTAGACAAAAGTTTGGTATAAATTATTGTGTCGCGATAGTCATCCAAATTCAAAAATTATTTTTTCTCCACTGAAAAAATACTTTTTTCCACCAGTCGTCATCTATATTTCTTATGCCATGTCTTCTATGTCCTGCATAATTTTTGTTCCTTAGTTAATAAATTATTTTGAGATTCTTTGACGGTACAATTTATCACCTAATATTGAATTAGGTTTTTTTTTTGTTAACTCAAGGAACAAAAGTTCATAGATATATTATTTTAAAATTATGATATGCTTGGTTGTGTTTATTCTTATGAAGTATTCATGAAATAAATGTTGTTCGCTTTGATTCTTTTTTTAAAAAATGCTATTTCTCATAATGATTTTAAATTCATTGATTAAAATATCTTTTTTCCATTGCCATTGTTTAATGAGACAAAAAAAAAACAAAATACCGTAATAAGAAAATGATTACGATTCTTTAATATTTTTAAATATTGTAAAGATAATTCAAGATTCCTTTAATGAATGACTTTTCCTGACTAGATCGTCATTCCCTTTTCAGTGCACGGAACACACCCAAAGAGTTGGTGAGTGAAAGAGTTGGCGAGTGAAAGACTTGTAGACTTAACGTATTAGAGTATTGAATAGTTGAAGAATCAAAAAGCAAAGAGTATAATAGTTGAAGAGTTAAAGAGTTATGCGGTTGAAGAGTTAAAGAGTAGCGTAAGACAATCAGTAGGGTTAAAATATAATATAGGAAATCCATTTTAGTAATAAACAGAGTAATAATATTGTTAATGTTAAATAGATGAACATGAATTGAACACATCTGAAACTTTTATTATCTAGGACCCATTATAGATAGAAATAAAAATCTTAAATAAATATGGAAACAAATGGTGGAGTGTGTCATCAATACTTTGTGATGCAACACTATTGAGTTTGAAAGGTAAGTTCTATCAAACTAATTTTCGGCCTAACATACTTTACGAATCACAACATTAGGCTAGTAGATTTGAAAATGAACAAAAAATGCTAGTAGCATAAACTAGATTGTTAAGATGGATGTATGGGTAGACCATAGTTAAATAGGATTATAAATTAGTGTATTAAAAAGAAATTGAGGTAGTGCCGATAGAGAAGAAAAAGAGGTAGTGCCGATAGAGAAGAAAATAGGCGAATCAACTTAAAATGGTTCAAGCATGCGTGTATAAGTTGTATATTTCCTAAATGAAGAGATAACAGTCGTCTGATTCATGGTATACCATAATAAGTAGTTAACATGTATATATAGAACCCTAAAATTTCAAGAGAAGAATTTGATAAACTTACTACATTAAGTATACATGAAGATATAATGAGGTCATGCAGAACATGTTACTGTGAGTATAGCTAGAAAATTGAACCATGTATCAATAAATATCTGATAATGACTCTTCTTAATCAAGAAAAGATCTCATGTGTATTTTGTTGAAATTACTGCATAAACTCTCCACCTAAATCATGAATTACTTACTTAAGATTCTACTTCCTAATAATTTTTCGACGAAAATACTATCAATTTGGATACTTCAAAAGTTATTAAAAAGAAGTTTCATCTTGTGCATCCTCATTATTAGCCATTTCCAAGCCAAAGAAATCTAATCTAACCAACTCATATGTTTAAACTTTTATACATATCATGCCATCAACATCTTTTTGCCTTGATCTATTCTATTGACTACCGAAGTGAGACGCTCAAATTATCAAGTTTCTCAGACTATAACAAACGCCAGCAGATTGACTGAAACTTTTTAATTGGAAA